TGTATGGATTGCGATAACAGTTGTATGAGCCCCTAATAAAATGTTTTTTAAAAAAAAAGACTTTTCTTTTGTTGTTGTTTCTTAGACTTTTCAATCTTTCGTTCTCTACCTTATTAAGAAGCTGATTCATTTGATGTCTGGTAAAGAGAAGGGAATCTCCCTTATTCTTTGGTTCTAAATTCCCTGAAATATATTCCGATTTTGGCATCTGAAAATAAAGTCTTGTGCGAAACCAGAATTTTAACAGCATACTAAGTAATGGGTAGGTCTGCCTTTTAGTGATCAGACATGCTTAACTTACAGTGGATCATGGCTTGGTAGCTTAATTGTTCTCCGTTTCTTCTTACTCTTTTTGTGCTTTGCACAAAATTCTAACGACTCTTCAACCATGTAAACTAAAACATCTACTTTACCCATTCTAAGGCACAACCCTGTGGAAGATGCCATAAACAAAATTTTTATAATTCTCATAACAATCATGGAATCAAATCTGGAAACCAAGGTAAAATGACAATATTCCTAAGAGAAAAATTAGTCTGAAATTGGTCAAACATGCAATCAAGATGCACTGATTACTTATTAGCAACTGGAATCCTTAAGGTGGAAAACTGAGAAAGAAAAGCCTTTGTGTGAAAACCAGCCTTTGTGATAAAAACAAAGTTGGAAATGGCATGATAAAATTTTAGAAGACCAATTTCGTCATTGCAAATGCATTTTTTTCAGCAGCAGAAGCTTTTTAAAAACTATCTTGTATATGGAAAAAGAGGAAGCAAAACAATGATAGCAGAAATGTATCTCCCATGCTGTGGTAGTTACATAATCTGCTGTCAATTTGAGACTCAAGAGTCAAGGGGTGGAGTTTAGCCTGTCAATCAGGTCACAGCTTGATGACCTCTTTTGGCGGCACTAAGGAGATAAAGAGCTCCCTGGAGGCAGGACACACGCTCACTCCCTGTGAGACATTCCTATTGAGAAGACACATGGGAGCTACACTAGAGCCCTGAAGTTGAAGGAGCCACGTGGACACCCCTACCAGCACTGAGATGCCACTGCCACTGAATTCACAAGACTTTTCACCCACTGGCCTGTGACCTTCCTGCATTTGGCGTCATTGCATGTGTTGAGTGAGTCTGAAGAGGAATTTATAGATTGGTATCGGACATATGGGCTAATATTGGACTTATGGACTTGATCTGGACTGAGCTGGGATGTCTTCTCAATATTTAATTGCTCTTGTATATAAACCTCTTTCTTATACATATGTGTCTATGAATTTGTTTCTCTAGTCTACCCCGACTAACACATATGCCTACCACACAATATGTAGTCCAAGGGGAGCGCTAAAAGAGCTACTACCACTGGATGCACCAAAGAAAATGGTCGAGAAAATGATAGGGAAACAGCAATCCCAAGGGAGACAAAAGTAAACATTCAGGCCAAATTACCAAGGGGACAATGGCAGATACTCTCTTACAGTGAGTGGTATGTGAGCAAAAGAATGGGGAAGTCACCAATGCAGAACCCAGCAGGGCAGACAAGAGAAATGCAGATATGCGGTGGTCAGTGAACATCAGCACACACCCAGAGGGCAGGACACACATACAGAGGTAAGGGCTCACTTCCTTCAAGTGGGAGACAATAAATCATCTCAGAACCATCAAAGAAAAAAAGAAGGAAGAAAGCACAGAAACTTAAGAGATTATGCATCTTCTTTCTTAGAGACCCTGAGCAATGAATACTTAAAGGGACTCTACAAGGTAAGTATGACTAAGTTTTATATGGGTAAAATCAACGGTATTTTTCCTACTACCAAATAAAACAGAAAACAGTACTGGATCATCGAGAGACTGAGTAAGGTGGCTTCTCTGCACGTCTGAGTTGCATTGTCAATAAGTGTAGAACATCTTAATAAAAGCATCAGCAAATATCTGATTGTACAAAGACAAGAATTTCTTAAGCATAAGAGCAGTGGGAGAAATCACAAAAAGGCAAAAAACATATAATAGTCCATCTATTTAATACTGTACTACAGTAAAAACAAACACTAAATTAGAAGTCAAGGTTTAAGGAAAGCAGGGTAATTGTAACAAAACAAACTTAATGCTAGCATTCTCAATACAAAAATATTTTTTAAACTATCAATGCGATTAAAAAAAATCAGACGACTCATAAAGAACAGCTTATAAACATTTAAGCAACTGTTCAGTCATGCTCATAATCAGTAAAATTAAGATAAAGATAACACACTTTTAACTATCAAAAAAGAATTTTTTTAAAAAATTATAACATTCAGTGTTATAATTTTGAGATTTTGAGGTGGCATGGGGAAACTACATTTTATTTTGAAAATACTGTCATATTTTTAAAAGAAAGTTCTGTTACATTTTTAACTTTAAAAAATCATGTATTGCCTATAGAGATTTGGTAAATCGTTCCTCCTTCTAACAGGTTGCCTAGAAATTATGAACACTCATTTTTATAATGCATCGTAAGAAATCAAGAAAAACATGGAGGGGAGCAACTACCTAGCAGCTCGGTGAAAACGGGGGGAAGTCAGCCTGCTAACTACTGTGGAGTGGTTTTCCAAATGGGTTCTGCAACAAACACAGGGCTCTCGTGACTCGATAAAAACTAGTTCCTGAAAACTGATTCAAAGTCACTTTGCTACTTTCAATATCAAATTTCCTTTGTCACCTGGGCTATCCAAATTCCAGGCAAAGCGTCCAGAGTAAATTTTATTTTCAATGAAAACACTCTTTGAGTTTCAGAAACTTTTACAGTATGTATAAAATAATAACATAAGAACAAAACCAAAGGAGACATACGAACCTCTGATTGTACATGCCCCGAAAGTTGTAATTAGCTCTATAATTTGGGAATGGCTTTGGATCTAACGGCCTGTAGATGGCAGGCTCTCCCCTTTTCATAGCAAGGCCATTCAATTCCACAGTTGGAGTTATACTGCCTGTTCAAAAAAAAAAAAGGCACATAAGTGAAATATTTCCACAATAATGACACATGCTACATTTTAAAGACATTTTGTTATCATGAAGGAAGGTAGGAGTACATGGTCCATCAGCATGATTTTCTCATGTTCAAACTAAACATGAAAATAGTCTAATAAAACCCATTTGGGATTTTTGCAACACTGTCTATACATTAAAACCAAAAGGCAAAATTTTAGTCATACTATTTCAAAATAATGCAAACTTCAAAAAATCCTTAAATGGCTTATTTTGGATATATTTTTTTAAGTAGTATTGAATTTCAATATTACTTATTTAGAAAGCTTATATGCAAATTATCATTTGTACTATTTTCATTTACATTTTGATTGGAAAGCAATTAACATTAGAAATACATACAGAAGCATCAGTAAAAATCACTAATACAAGGGGGTATCAAAAAGTTTGTGGTAAAATAGAATTAAAAGATAATAGAATTTTCCATGAATTTTTTTGAAGCCCCTTTATAAAATTATAAACAGTAATTCTAGGTCTTATTGAATGAAAATATATCTTGAGTTTTTCTATAAATACAACAGGATAAAGTATACATAAATGAAAAAAAATTGGGGAAAAAGTATGCATAAATGATATCCTCTACAAATATTCCTGAATTAAAATGTCATCTATTGCTAACAAATATTAAGAGATCTTTACACCTTTAAAGATATATACATACGAAGCATGTACTGACAAAGCGATATGCACTACTCCTCAATTACTGATATGGTTAGGCTCCAAAGATCTGATCATTATGCAAAAATGAAGGATGAGATCAAAAAATGGAAGATGATTACATCATGACAATGCTTTCACATTATATCATCATATAACTGTCCAACCACTGAGAATCATGGCCAAGCTGGCACATAACCTTACCCATCACAAGCAAGTGCTACCTTGAACATTTGTGTATAAAGTCTTTCAGTGGATCTATGTACTATTTCTCCTGGCTATATACCTAACAGTGGAAACTGCTGAATTATTACAGAGGATGTTTCTATTTAACTTCATTAGAAATTGCCTAAAATGTTTCCAGACTTTCTAAAACCAATGAACCTGTACCTTTAAAAGTTTACATTTTTCTTGTTTCATTAAAAGTTCATTTATATTCATGCTAATTTGGTACACAAGATTCATGTCACTTTTAGTTCTACTTTAATCATATAGTCAGTGATAAATTAAAGTGGGTGGGATGAGAATTTACAAACAAATTTGGAAAGCTTCATCTTTTAAGTATGGCATTTACTAAAAAATAGATTTGTTTCAACTACTACCGTAGTGGTTTTTAATGCTCTGGTTAAATTTACTAAGTCTGTATACCATATTATAAACTGGAATTTTAAGTGAGTGAAAGTCTTGCATTCCAATTTATCCAGACAATTTAAATCAATACATAATTTCAAGTACATTCTTCATTTGAAACTAAGACTACAGTAATTTTCTTCACAGAAATGCTAGAAACCGGTCTTTGTGAAGGAGACTAGAAGAGTAAGACAACATAAACTGTACTGAAATGGTTCCACTCTTTCAGAACAAAGTATCGCTAACTGCTAACTCTAAAACTAGACTGACATGTATCCACTTATGCACATGCGCATCCTCTATCTACACAGATCCTCCTGCTGCCACAGAAAACACAGATAACATCAGAATGTGAAATGTCTCCAGGTAACGCTAAGTACCATTGTTTTAAGCATGGCAGTTAAGATTCCAGTTATAAAAGACAATCATTACACAGAATGGAAAATCAATTTGCTCTGTAAACTCAACCAAATGACAAAAAATGTATTTTTTAAGTCATCATTACATAGGAAACCTCATTTAAGGCTACAAATTTGACACTACATATTCAATCCATTTTAGTGAGTTCGAGATATATAAAAGGAAATTTGTCTATTTATTGGTGGGGTCAGTATAAAAAGGCTAATTAGGAACACAAATGTTTTTAACAACAATTTTGGATTCCTCCACGGGGCAGCTCAAAGAAAAATTCCACATAAAATTCTGAAGAAAAAACTTACCACTAATGTGTGAGAAAACAACTTTACAGAAAGTTAGAAAAGTCCCTGGTACATAGTAGTCACTCAATATCTGGCTAGTAAAAAAAATGGACTGAATAAACAGTCAAACAGGTTTGGTTCCAGTACTGGGAAAAAGAAAACACAAGATGACTTTGGAATATCAATACTGCTGGGTGGGGGGGGTAAAGAATTACAGAGGTATATATGAAAAACACAGAGGTCAACTTGAAGGGACTACACTACTAGCCAAATCTGGAGCAATTTAAGAATCAAAATAATTACAGTAACAGATTATATACATTTAAATAAACGAGAAATCCATAGTGACACTAATAAACCAATGGTGGATAGCAAGTTCTACCTCCACATGAAATCCTTGACAACAAGGGGAA